ATTTTAAAGCATGAACACTTCTTGCTACCCTTCACTACCAACCACACCCTCCTCCCAAGGACCTATTTTTGAGGACTGGATAGAGTGCTGAAATGCAATCCAGGAAACCAGTTATAGCTATTAGCCAGCTCACTGCTCTTGGCTATGTAATGAAAGCACTTTGGGTTTCAAGATCAATCAAATGAGATCTCTAAATTCCCTTTCAGGTTCTTAGAACTGTATAACCGTAAGGCTATAAAAAGATTCTGGTTTGAAATTAGGAACACATTAGTTACAATAATCTTAATAACTTTAAAAATGCCAAAAAAATGCTATTTTCAATGAAAAGAATTACACCTTTTGGAAGATAACATCTATTATTTCTATACCAACATCTGAGATATTTTGTTTTGCCTGAATAGTGACAATGTTTTATTAGGAGTAGAGAATTTATTTTTAACAAAGTGTAGTAAGGTTTGTTCTTTTACATCAGTATGTATGTCATAAGTTGTTTATTTCTAAGATTCACCTTATATTGTGAAATATGTAAGGTCAGCTATATAAAATTAACTTCAAAAGATTACAATTTAGGACAAACAGCCTCAACACATATAACTTGTTTCTGTTGAAGGGTATACATTCCTTTGGAAAATGGTACCTAAGAACATAAACAGATGACCACTTCTCAACTATCCTTCTGGTTTAATGCCTACCTTAACTCAAGCTTTCTCAGACAGAATTGAATTCTTTGTTTCTTTACAAACAATCTCAAACTAACAGAAACATTTCAAGATCAGGACATTTTTTTCCCCTGAACCACATGAGAGTAAGTTGCTATCTTGATCACCTAAGCCTCTCTAGAACATTATTGTATATTTCCTACAAAGGACATTGACCTACATCATCCCAACACTGCCATTAAAATCAGGAAATGAACATTTATGGAGCACCACTTCATCCCCAAATCCCATCTAAATTTCAACAAAAGTCCCTATATTTTGTAGCAAAAGGTTTCAGCTCAGAATGGCCTGTTCCCATTAGCTGCATGTTTCTCCAGTCTCTCCTGACTTTCATGACCTTGACACTTCTGAAAATCCGAGGAAAGTTCTGTTGTAACATGATTCGATTCTAGGTAGGCACATTTGGCAGGAACATCACAGAGGTGATGCTCTGTTCTTCTCATTGTATTCTATCAGATGGCACATCATTTTTTTTGTTGTTGTTCTCTTTACTGATGATATTCACTTTGATCATTTGATTAAAGTGGTGTCTGCCAAGCTTTCCCACCGTAAAGTTACTCTTTTTCCCTTTGTATTAATAAGAATTCTGTGGGTAATTACTGTTACTATGAAACTGTAATATTTTGTGCTTCATCAAATTTTCCATTGATTCATTTAATTAATGTATATCAGTATGTACTCATGAATCCATTTCTCCAAGAAGTCCTGATTTACTATTAGTAAAGAATGGTATCAGAATCCAAGATCTGGGTGCCAAGTATACTTACAGCTATTGGGAAATCACTGCTCCATCTCAGTGGACAGAACTAAGAACACACGCATGCATATTCATACATACACACATTCAACATATGTATAATGTATATAATATGCATATGTGCATATGATATGCACGACATATATTTTCTATACATACACATGCTTATATCTATATATCTATATGATATAGATACATAGACATAGACAAAGGTAAAGAGACAGTTAAAACAGTTAAAGTCATGAATGGATGAATGCACACTGATACTGTCAATTGCCATCCAACACCACAGCGTTCATTCTACTTACTCCACTATCTTTATTTCCTTCTTGTCTAGTGAAAAACCTGGATTCTGGTATCCTTTTTAGATTACATATTTCATCAATCCCCCTATTACCAAATTTACCAAATTTCCATCACCACTGCCATACTTGTCCCCACAGGGATGTCCTGCCTCACTGCTCAGGCTCCAATCTCTTGCGCTGGTCTGACCATCCTGCATGCTTTACTGCACACCTTGATTGGGATCAGACTGCATGTCTGGCTGCCCTTGCACAGATGCCTTTGTCACTTTGCTGAGCTCTGAGACCCTGTGCAAAGCTGCCCCTCTGCAGGAGCATCCACTTCATTATGCTCAGGATCCAACACTCCACCATCCTTACTGGGCTTGGCCTCTGATACCTTGATCTGGGGCCTTTCAGGTAAGGATGCCTCCCTGCTCTATAGCTATAGGACCCATTCAGGGGAAGATGGGAGGGAGAAGCGAGAAAGGAGGAAAGGGGGTGAGGGTGACAGAAGATCAGGAAAAAGAGTCAGCTGAACTAATTCTTAACAAATGTCTGAATAATGTAATTTTATTGTGATGATAAATTTAGGGTAAAAATTTTGACACATCAGAAACATCCCTATTAAAGGTAGGCTTATAGTTAATTTGTTCCTTTAGACAGTTCAAATGCTTTGAAAGATAAAAACTGCTAGCACTTTCTTCTGAGATATGGAGTAACAATGCCAGATACATGTGGGTACTCAAATAACACTTGTTTCAAAAAATATTACTAGTCAGCTGCTGTGTTGGAAAGAGGCATATACTAGGGAAGGGGGTTGATCAAGGAAGCACAAAAGCCAGGTCCTCTGGAAGTTAAAATGATCATTTCCAATGACTCCATGGCAGATATTTTTCTAAAGACAAATATGATCCATTCCCCCAAGTTGTTCCATGTAAAATTTATAATAATGATGTTTAAATATTACAATGTATGTAATATTTCTCCTTTATAAAGATATTTTACATTTCTGAAAAACCCTAAAAGAGTCAAGGTGAGTCCCTGTGCCTAACTTTATTCCAGGATTCAAACTGTGTCAGCATGTCCTTCAGCTTAAATCAAACGTTTAGATTCAAACACTGTGCTCTCTGTCAGTGGTTCCAAATTTTCACAGACATACCCAATTAGCTAAGAGAGACAACTGAACATTGTGTGTAAGCATTGCATTTAAGTAAACATGCATTAGATTGACCAATGCCAAATTTCCTGCTCCACTGCTTCGCTGAGTACGTAGACTTGGACAGTTAGTTAACTAAAGCCACAATTTCCTCATCTGAAAGCCAGGGACAATAAAAGCTAACTCAGAGGCCTATAAACTGCATAGTGCAGTGCCTGGCACACAGTTACCATATAATAAATATGATAATTTATAGCCATTTTTATTATGAAAATTTGCCTCCAAGTCTTAGGTTAACAGAACACCTATCTCCAAGGCTGTAGTTTAAAGCATCTGGATAAAAAATATCCAGTAAACCTTACCACATCCTTTAGCAAAGAGGAAGCTGCATTTCACAGAGATCAACACAGTATCTAGAAAACAAGCTGAGGTTGCTTGACAATTTTTAATTCTGGCTTCAAATTAGATGCCAACTTCATGGCTCTTATCTGATACACTATTCCATAATTTTAGCTTAAATAGAGATAACAGGACAGTTTTTACACCATATACAAACAGAGACATTCCCTCCTCCTTTCATCCCATTTATTTACACCTTCATTTATTCCATTTTTATTTGTTTCCTACTTTTTTTCTCTTTAGAAATCTGCTCTGGATAACAATCAAAACCAACAGAATAAGTATCTACCTAACAGCACACGCTTTAGCCATATTTCAAAGCAATGGTTTTCAACCTGATTAGAATCTCATGGGAAGATGTGTAAACTCCTAATGTCTAGGCTGAATGCCAGGCCAAATGAACCACAGACTTTGAAGACAGCATCCAGGTATCACTATTTTTAAAGCTCTTTGGTAATTCTGACGTCTAGCCAAGTGGAGAACCAAAGTTCTAGGACTACCCCAGAATGTACTGGTTCTCAGAACTGCAATCCTCTGAGGGGAATGATAGGTGAATCAGGCATAAAAGAATTGGAGATACCCAGAGAGGGGGGAAAAGTACTGGACAATTCTTTACACGTGGTATGATGGAAAAGAAATGTGCGGCAGGGCAATTTAGAAATTGACGTTATCCAAAATGTTTTGTCCAAGTTAACAACTAGGACTTTTAAAAGGCATTTATAAAAAAAATGAACAGTCTTACCTTTTGATTATCTTTCCTTCTTTACGGTATGTTTCAAAACATCTACATGCTATAAGCTCATGAAAATAAATCCTAAGGAAAGGTTGAAAACTTTGTGTAGAATAATGTCCGATTCTAGTTACTGACGGCCACTGTGTACCAACTTGAGAGGCTGGTGTGTTCTATTACCATCCCTGGCTGCTAACACTTAGAGATTTACAACACAGAAGGCAGGTTAGATGGAATACTCTCAACATAAAAAGTAATTACAAACAGGTGAAGCTAAAATGGCAAACTTGGTGTTGGCTCCGGTAATGTTTTGTACATAAATTCCTCAAAGTGTCTTAAACAAACAAAAACAAAAGAAAACAAGAAACAACCACAAAAAAACTTTGTTTTCAAAGACCAAAGACCATGGTGTAAAAAGAAGACACACGCACGTTATCCTGTAAGATGTGAGGACTTTGGTTAGTTGATGGGTTACGTTTTTTTTTTTCCCCTCAAAGCCAATCCACCTGCTAGGAAGAAGAAAAGAGGTCATACTTGGGCCTTGCTATCCATTCCATTCAAATGAAGGGAGTAGGCCTTAGGGGATGTGGCTTCCAGAAACTGTGCCACACTACCGCAGGCCAAAGTCGCGGGCTGGCCCCCGCACTCACCCACGTACCCTACCGCCCTGTTCCCAGCAGAAACCAGACCCTGCCCTACTACCGATGCCCGGGCTCGCGGGGCGCTGTTCGTTCCGCATTCACTCCGAAGAGCGGAGGAGCGCGAGCCGCCCCAGCTCCCCGGTTCAGCTTAGGTAACCCAAGCGTAGCCAATGGGAGGCCGCCGCCGCCGCTCGCCACCCGCCCTCGCCAGCATCCCCGCGCCTCTCCCTGCGCCCCGACCGGGCGATGCCCTCCGCCCGCGGGGACCCGAGCCTCGCGCACTCCTCCCCGCCCGGCCCTTGCGCTCGTCCCACCTGGATCACTGCCGTCCGCCAGGCTCGGGCGCGCCGCGGCGAGGAGGCACAGGAAGGGGAGCAGCCGGGGCGTTGGCCCCCGGGGCCCCCGCAGGCTAGGGACGGCACGCATGGCGCTGGAGGGTCCGCCGCGGCTCTCCTGGAGGCTGCTCCCTCGGCTCGCTGCCGTCGGCGTCCGGAGTCCCGGTGAACACTCGCCGGTGGCCCAGCGCCCACTGCCAGTCCCGGGGGCAGGACGCGCGAGAAAAGGCGGAGTGGGAGGGGCCGGGCTGCCTGCCCTATTCCCCCGAGAGGCTCTTGCCGCGCCCGGCCCTCCATCAATTATGCAGCCCGCTGCCGGCTCCGGCGCGCCCGGATGTGCGGTGCAACCTCCGGCCGCATCCTCTCGGGCCTCCGCCCTCTGGGCTCCAGCAGGTCGGACAGGGAGCTTGCTGCAGTGGCTGCGCAGGTGATGGCTAGCGCGCCTCCTCAGGGAGAGGTTGTAGCCTTTGCAGTTCACCTGAGGCGGGATTCACTTATTTGCTTTGCTGGGACAGAGGAAAACATAAAGGACACTTTTCTGCTCCCCTTCTCCCGGACATCTTTGGGCTTTCTTATTAAAAAGGCTTATTTCTGCGCTGGAGAAAGATTCTATCCAGCTGCCCCGACACCCTGGACTAATCTTTCTTTGCTCTGCCTACCAGTCACACACACTCTCTCTTCCAGTCTCTGAAGGCTTAACTCATTCTCTCCGGATTAAGGTTTCAGAGTCCCAAGGCCCCATAGTGTGTCTGATTTTATTTTACTTTTGTTTGCTTAGCCTAACAGCTTTGGGGGAGCCACCCAGAGCTCAAGAAACAAAACCTAACGAAAGCAGAGACGGTGTAAACTGCACAAAGATGGGGACCTTTGTAAAAATGGAACATCGTTTAAGATAATGCTGTCTTCTTACCAGCAAGGCTGTCACTTGGAATTTTCAATGCCCCGAACTAAATGAAATAAAAACAACTAAAACCTAGTGCTATCTGGGAAGGGAGGAGGAATCTACATTGTAACATAAAAACACATCGAGATTTGATGACTCTCTGAAATGTTATATATAACACATTAAAAAGATATTTTTAAAGTCCTTCTCATGAGCTTTGTTCCTTCCCCCTTTATTTTTTGAAAGTCAGCTTTGACATTCATGAATTCAAAATATATCAGTGTCAAAGAACAGGACTGAAAAAAGTGTTAGGTATAAATTTTGAAAATTGAACTGTTTAACAAGAACTATGCTTACTCCAGACAGCAAAGGTTAATTTTTAATTGGTATGCATTACTAAAATATTACTGTTCCTGCTTTAGTATTACATGTACAAACTTTGGAAAAGAATGTAGATTATTCGAATTGGTAGTGAGAGAACATGAGTGCTACAATTCATTCAACAATATTATCTCCCAAGTCCAGACGTTGTGTTCAAAATAGGCTGGATGTACTGCAAAGAACATGTGTACACATCCCACACACACACTAATTAATATAGAGAATTATTTATATGTGAACTACAAATCTAAAGAAAGCTTCCTCTCAGTCTGAAAATTATGGCTACGGTGATTAAACCTTTTGAACAAAGCCTTATAAGAGGCCTCGAGGGACTAAAACTTATACACTGTGAACCGCTCAGGGATTGCTAAACCCAAATTGCCTAACCGATGGCTGCTTAAATCATGCCCCTGTCTTGCTGCACTGCATCCTGTCCCAGTACTAACTGCAAACATTTCCGTATACCTAGGCAGAGTTTTAACAGTAAGCACTTCTTAGACCAAATGGAACTCTGATTGACCAATTAGTCCTATAAAGTCCTTAGGCACAAATGCACCCTTCTTCAAATGAGCTGACCTTATTTAAAAAACAATTTTCTTTTCAGTTGAATCAGCCTGTTTATGAACAGGAAAAAGTGACTTGCCCAAATTGATGCTAATTCCTACTGTTGCTTTTGTTGTTAGAGCAAAACAAGTTGAGAAATAAATATAATTCTTGTTTTGTTAAGCATTTTAAAAGTCTTTTCACTATTGTTACTGTTCTATATTTAGATATTTGATTTTTGGGGGGGGGGCCTTATTCACCCTCCACTTTTTCAAATGCTCCATATCCTTTAAAACCAGCTTATCTATTAACTTCCCTGTACAGGTTTTTCTGACCTTTCTGGTCCAAATTGGCCTTTCCCTCCATGATGAAATAAATACGGCCACAAACACTTTGACACTCTCCTTATCATAAGGTGCATTGAGGGGGAAGGAGGGTCTTCTATTTTCTCCCCTTCAGTTGAGTGGGCTCTGTGACTCCTCTAACCTACTAAATATTGCTGAAGTAACACTGCCTGGGCTTCCAGCTCCAGACCACAAGAGTTTCTACTTCCTGTCTCTTGAAACCCTTGCTCTTAGAAGACAGCTGCTAGGTAAGAAGTACTACTATTCTACCCTGAAACCACCACTCTGTGAGAAGCCCAAACTATATGGAGGATCCTGTCAAAATAAAATCAGATCAAGTATTAATAAAAAGGAATATGAGGGTTTATTGTATATACATACAAAAGAACAGTTCACAAACCAGGAGACTTCAAATCAAAAGTGTTGAAGAAGATTGACTCACAAGAATTATAGCTTATAAAGCATCCATGAGGAAGTGCATTGACCTCTATTGTGCTTGAATATTAAAAATTTCCACTCCTTTTAGGGCAAATAGAGCTGTATAAGCATATTTGTCTGTAGCTGATTGGTTCAATTTTATCATACTGACAAGGAAGAAAAGCTAAAGTTTTATTTATGGTTAGAGCTCTCATTTCCAGAAAATCAAGATAGCTTGAGTTTCAGTTATGTGGCTATGGTGGTGGATATAGGGTTATACCCAAACTGTGGCCTCGATTTTGACTATACTTTAATAATTGCCACCTTTTGGTCATCTCTCAGTTGAACTGAGAATGAGACCAGTATTAGGTGTTACTTTCTGTCACCACATGTTGTGTCTGTCTTTGTGGTCATCTGAAGATGACAAACCAGGATTCCAGTAGGTTCTTCCAGTGATTCATATTCATGTCGTTTTTGTTGTTCCACCCTTATGGAGATCATTTGACAAGTCAGTGACTACCAACAAGCATTTAAGATTCTTGAGAGAACATAAGGTACAAGGGAGATTATCAATATGATAATAGGAAGATGATACCAAGAGCTTGAAAAATACCCCTAAGCCAACTCCCTAAAAGCCGATATTTAACCAACTAACTAGATCAATTGATGGTGCCTCCCTGATCTGGTGGAATACTTGTATCTGATCGATCAGATCTCTACAATTCGGGGCTATAATTCCTAACTTACTGACATAAAAACAGCATTTGTTTCTAATAAGAACACAGGCTCCTTGCAAGCTTAAAGTATCAAAAACTCTCCCATTTGGAGTAGAACTGATGTTCAACTCACTGCAGATTGTATCTCTTGTAGAGAATTTACATTTTCATTAAAATTCTTTTCAAGAGCTGTAGAAATACAGATGCATGATCTTTATAATCCAGACACATCTAGTCAAGGGAACAGTGCTCTAAGGAAAGAATGAAATCCAGAACTCTTCTGTATAACTGAGTTTAGAAGCTCACAAGAAATTCATTTTGAGGGGGAGGGGATTTGTTTATGTATGAAAAATTCCAAGTTAAGAATTTGACTAGCATTTAGAAAGTTAATTTGTATCCTAGGAGTTTTTTCACTTTTTTGTGGCCCCAGGAACTGTCTCATTTTCATATTTGAGTTCTAGGATATTTCTGGTGATAATCTCAGTACTGTATATTTAGTTTTAGTTTCCTGGGAGGAGTGGGGAAAGAGGGAGTGAAGACAGTTTACTTCTATACTGCCAGTTTGGAACCAGAAGTTCAAGGTGGATATTGAACAAAGTTCATCTTCAAGTGCTCAAATGGTTGTGATGGTGAATGAGTTATTCTTAGGGCCACTTTGATGGTCTTTCTAGGATTATGGGTTTGATAAGTCAAGCATTGATTATAGACAAGCCTAGCTACTTTTGAAACATCTCCCCACCAATATTGTATAAGAGTTTGAATCATTTAATCAACTCCATGATGAGCAAAAGTATGGAAAGCTCAGAGGAGTGGCAACTTTAGGGGTTCAGGAAGTACCACACAGCTATCTGGGCACTCCCAGAATTCCTCAACTATTTTACATTCCTTACTCATGCAATCTTTTTTTTTTTTCCAGTTTCTAAGGCACATTTTTACCATTCTTGTAAGTGTTGAATTTCTTTTATGTCCTTTGGATGGATTTTACTCAAGGATTTAGTTCATTAGTTGAGATGGGTTTTTGGTGGCAGTTTTAGCATGGAAATCAGCCATGTCATCTCCCTGATATTCAGGATATCTTTTGTGAATATGAGTTTCAATTTTTATGATAGCTACTTCCGAAGGCCACAATAATGCAGAGAGAAAGTCAGCAATCTGAGACCCATTCTTTATAGGCATTATTTGACATTAAGGATCCCCTCTGTTTCTGTAGCATACCAAAATCATGGGCTATTCCAAAAGCACAGCTGGCATCAGTATAGACATTTACAGTCTTTTTTGCTATTTTACAGGCTCAAGTAAGGGCAAATAATTTTGCAGTTTGGGCTGAATTAAATTTGGAAAGAACTCCTCTTTATAATAATTCATTTTGGCTTGTAACTGCATACCCAGCTTGATATTTTCCTTCAGAATTTTTGGCATAGGAGCCATCAACGTAGAGCACAGATTCTGGATTGGCTAATGGGGTTTCTTTTAAATCCAATCTGGGAGTCAAGTTTTTGAGAAATCCATTTGACACAGCTATGAGTCTCTCCTTCATCATGTAAAGGTAAGAGGATAGCAGAGTTTAAAGAGTTGTAGCAAAGAATATGTAGATTTGAAGGTGACAAGAGCAGAATCTCATAAGATGTTAATTCGCCTGCTGGCTGAGAAATGCTGGGTACATTTAATATTTTGCAAACTTTCTATAGCATGAGAAACCTGTAGGCATAAGCTGTTGCCTTGAACAAGTTATGAAGAAAATTCTACATTGTTGGCACTTGCAGCTACTGTCTTTAAGCAATTTGAATGTGTCCTCGCTACCAGTCCTACCTGTAGGCTATACTGGGCTGTGGGTCTATTTTGTCCACCATGTTTTGAGTGAGGACTCCCAGAGCCTGATTGGTTCAT